AGAGCAGCCAACTCTCTCCTGCCCAGCTGTTCGGAGTGACAGCTTTGTCACTTTAGGGAACACTGAACCTTTTAACTGTTTCCACAGTAAAAATCTGCTTTGCTTTTTTTAATAGAGGGTTTTCATGAGACAAAACTGTAATTTGGTATCAGGTGTTCAGCTCTCTTCAAAAGTAGGGCTGCAGAACACCCGATGCAGTTTTCAAACCGGTTTTAAAGGGGCCCCAGCAAGGCTGCGTACACAGGAGCCCTTCAGTGCCACTTGTCCTCAGCAGCACGGGGCGTCAGCGCTGCCCCCAAGGCTCCGGTGACAGCCCACAGCCACCTCCCGAGTAGCTGCAGTGGCTCAGCCGGGGTGAGGCCAGCTCATCTGCCGCCAGGAACACCCACCTGTAGCCGAAAGGCAACTTGCCCGCACCAGTTTGTTGCCCAGGCAGGGGGGGAAGCTACAGCTTAGACCCTGCACTGGAACCTACGATCCCACCATGGTGAGGAGAGCGGCCCCGCTCCCGCCGGGAGGGAGGCTGTAACAGGAGTCCGCACGCAGGTACCTAAATTTAGACCCAGCTTGGAGCTGAATTCCACCCTCCCTGTGGAGCGTATCCCGAACCAGCACGCTCCGTTATGAAGGAATATAAAGGAATAGCAGAGGATCTCTGCGATTCCCACACCCACCTCGGCAGGAGGCAGGAGCGCAGGGCAGTTGCTGAGCGCAGGGCTCACACCCAGTCCGTTATTTTTCTTTTCCAGACCTCCGGAACACCTACGCACTTACGTTCGGAAACGGCACCCGAAAAGCTTACCAAAATGAAGAAAGGAGACGAGCTTGTGCACTGTGAAAAATGCTTTAATGGTGCCTGTACAGCATTTGAAGTGACTTTGAGACAGGAAGAGGAACACAACACAGACAGAGAAGTTTTGAATGAAAGAGTTCATACAGCTTTAAACAAAATTTACAGGTGTTCATCTGCATAGCTTTTACTCTGCCTCTTCCTCAGCCTCCTCCTCAAACTCCCCCTCCTCCTCAGCGGTAGCATCCTGGTACTGCTGATACTCAGAGACCAGGTCGTTCATGTTGCTCTCGGCCTCTGTGAACTCCATCTCGTCCATGCCCTCGCCTGTGTACCAGTGCAGGAAAGCCTTTCGGCGGAACATGGCCGTGAACTGCTCAGAAATGCGTTTGAACAGCTCCTGGATGGCTGTGCTGTTACCAATGAAGGTGGCAGACATTTTCAGGCCACGAGGTGGAATGTCACAGACCGCCGTTTTAACGTTATTAGGAATCCATTCGACAAAATAGCTGCTATTTTTGTTCTGAACGTTCAGCATTTGCTCATCGACCTCTTTCATTGACATACGGCCTCTAAAAACAGCAGCTACGGTCAGATAGCGGCCGTGACGTGGGTCACACGCAGCCATCATGTTCTTTGCATCGAACATCTGCTGTGTTAGCTCTGGCACGGTTAAAGCACGGTACTGCTGGCTCCCACGGCTCGTGAGCGGGGCAAAACCAGGCATGAAAAAGTGCAAACGGGGGAAGGGAACCATGTTCACTGCCAGCTTCCGCAGGTCAGCATTAAGCTGGCCGGGGAACCGCAGGCAGGTGGTAACACCGCTCATGGTTGCCGACACTAAATGGTTCAGATCACCGTATGTTGGAGTAGTTAACTTCAGTGTTCTGAAGCATATGTCGTAGAGGGCTTCGTTATCAATGCAGTATGTTTCATCTGTGTTCTCCACGAGCTGGTGCACCGAGAGCGTGGCATTGTAGGGCTCTACGACAGTATCTGACACTTTAGGGGAGGGCACAACACTGAAAGTATTCATAATCCGGTCTGGGTACTCTTCACGAATTTTGCTGATGAGGAGGGTACCCATGCCAGAGCCTGTACCACCACCGAGGGAGTGAGTAAGCTGAAAGCCCTGGAGACAATCACAGCTTTCTGCCTCCTTTCTTACAACATCTAACACGGAATCAACTAATTCAGCACCTTCCGTATAATGGCCCTTTGCCCAGTTGTTTCCTGCTCCGCTCTGACCTGGAAGAGAGCCATTTTCGTATTAGATTACGGTCACTGCTTCCTGCTTATTGCTTGCGAGCAAAGCTTAGAAGCATCAGGCTCCAGAGAAAGCCCGCAAAAGCTTTCATTTTATCGAGGGCAGAGCTGCGGTTTCACACAAGTACCTCTGAAATGGCTCGGCAGGTACACGGCAAACACCCAGTATCAATGATACAGCAGCCATTTAATTTCCCCTGACATTATGGAGGAGGCAACGAGAATCAGAAGAGCAACGACCCCCTGCGCCTTCCCGGAGCTGCTCTCCCGGCAGCTGCCGTCCCGCACCATCCGCAGATGCCCGGTATTTCCTGAAGCGCCAGGATTAACCTCCCTCCCGGGGCCGCGCTCGCCTCAGGAGCATGTGCGGCGGGGAAGCCCGCAGTGCAGCGTCCCTGCCCTGCCCACCCCACCCCGAGCCGGTTACACGGCAGGTCCCTCCCCCGCTCCCGGCGCACTCACCGAACACGAAGTTGTCCGGCCTGAATATCTGGCCGAAGGGCCCGGAGCGCACCGAGTCCATGGTGCCCGGCTCCAGGTCCACCAGCACGGCCCGGGGCACGTATTTGCCACCTGTAAAACAGGGAGAAGCCGTGACTGCGGCGGCGGGGGCGGCCCGGGGACGGGGGGGGGGGGGCGCCGGGCCCTA